GTTTTTACTGTTCGACTTATTTTGAAAAATTAAACAGTTTTTAATGTTGACTTTATTGCAGGAGCCTCTTCCCGCACCCCCCAACCCCCTTTGTTAAATTTACTTTTTATGAAACTTTAAAATATCATGCATCTATATTTTATATCACACATGCATATTTACACATTTTGATATAATTTTCCATTTTTGAGATACTGAGTTTTAAATATGTAGGTATTTCAAAATACTTTGAAATATTAAAATAACTTCACCTTACTTATTTACACAGCATGTTTTCCCAGAGAATGCTATTAGATAATGTTCATTTCTACTAAATTAAGTTTTACAAATCATAGAGCAGAAGAGTAGATATGAAGGCGAACTGAGTGGCTGTAGGAAGATTAAATCTATGTTTAAGAGATGGAAGATTTGTATCCGAACTAGTAAGTGGATTATTGTAATTTCTAATTAGCCAGAGAACTCCTAGAGTAAACAGTGTCTCTCAGATATTTAAACCATTAAAAGGGTCCAAAAGGCCTGTGAAACCCATTCAACCATCATAAAAACACCATTTATTATTGTAAGTTGAAAGCATAAACTTAGTCTATACTGTGTGGGAACCCATGGTTCAGTTTTATCATAGAAAACGAAGGTGGTTTCTATGCAGAGTTTTCAGTTTATTAAATGTGATCGTTACTCACCGAAGGACCAGCTTGCCCAGGCTCACCAGGGGGGCCTTGGTATCCCGGAGAACCCTAGGGGTGGAATAATGGGTAAATATTTTCTAGAGTAACAATCTTCACTGGATTCACTTACTTTGAAGACAGAATGTGATCGGGGTTTTTAAGTGAGGTCAGCAAATTTCATTCCAGTTTATAAAGATGGAAGCCAAGAACGTTCAGATCAGAATCAACTTAATTAATTCCATTTCATCTACTTAATCCCACAGAAACTGAATTGTTTTAAACTTGAGTCATATGACATGCACATTAAACATGTGGTCTAATTTGACAAAGTTCTGATTGCTAAGAGTTGTTTGTGGGAAGGAGTGGACATCTTTGCAGGAATGATAGATTCTTGGTTGCAACTTCTCTCCTGCAGTGGAACTACGCATGCTGGTGTGGCGAAATGATGGCAGGGTCTGTGTTACCATGACTTACAAACATGCATGAAGAGAAGCACCACTCCGGCCATACTTACAGGGGAGCCGGGATGACCAGATGCACCAGGGGGACCGGGAGGGCCTGGGGGACCCTGGAATGCAAATTTAAAGAATAAGTACAAAATAACTGCATCTGAAAAACGCTTTACTCAAGCATCAAAGAGACGCCATTGCACAGGAATAACCATGTCTTTAAAAATGTGAACAATTACTACGTAATAGCTACTCATGTAATAACTATTCATGGATAGGCTTAATTTTATTATATTTACAATGAAGATATTACAAAAAAAAGTCACTCTAAATGAAATTGCCACCAAATCAACAACAATTATTGATAAATATTATAATTTGTTGGCCTGAAACTCCCCAAAGAGGATTTAAAATCCAGAAAAATGCAGCGAAATGCTATGAAAATCCATTTACATTGAAAGAAACCCTTTAGGTACAATGTGAGGAGCCTATCATTATGGTAGATGAACTTAAAGACTGGATGGATCCTGATTATACTTGTATTTGATTCCAGGACATGAGTTGGGACAGATTGGGCTATTTGACCATCCATCACTCAACATGTCATCTGGAAAGTAGCATTTAATTAATGAAAAGAAAACAAAAGAAGCTTCTGGAAAACTTAGATGAGAGAGAGGAAAAGTGGCAGTGGCCATTTGGTTAAAATGAGGAATATACGAGTGTGAGTCCGGAACATGAAAGCCTGTGGGCCCGGTGTAAGTGGCTCTATGAGACAGAAACGAGTGGCCAAACGGGCAGAAACGAGAGGGCAAGGAAAAAGGGAGCTAGGATAGAGGCTAGTGATTACCCTACCATCCCCTTCCCCATCCTTCAGAGGGAACAGGCTACTGTACACAATGACGCCGAGATACCGTATCACCGGGAGAGCCACCATCAAGATTCCCCAGAGGCTAGAAGGTGCTCTGTAAGCCGAGAAGGCCTGGTACGTACAGCTGGCCCGGGGTAGCCTGCGAGACCCGCTCCTCCGACTCCGGACTTGACGTCGTAGGACTCGAACTGGGGAGAGTAGTTCTGCAGCAAAAGGACCAGACAGAGACCATCACTCTGGTGAACAGATCGATGTTCTTTTCAAAGGCATTTAGAAGCAGCGCATGCAACACCCGCTATTCACGGAGAGGACCGCCCCGCGTGCCGGAGGACGTGGTGTGTTCTGTTTCATTATCTTGCTGAGCCTTTTGTTCTACAGAGAGAGTTGCTTTCTAATCCTTGAACTAGCTGCGTGCAATGGCAATCCCACATAGCCTGCTCCTCTGTGCTCTTTCCGAAGCATTTCTCAGGGACATTACCTGGCCAACAGAGGGGCACGATTCACAGATTCCGGGGGCGCCGGGGGAGCCAGGGGTGCCTGGCTGCCCGGGGAGACCAGGATCGCCATTCCTGCCAGGGATACCTGGAGGGCCCTAAAACAAATCAGATGAAAACGAATGAAGCAGTGAAAAGTCCTAACGACTCAGATCATTGTCAAGTATAATAGTAGCTTCGCTGCTTAATAACTTGAGGAACCAATCTAAGTGATACATTTTCTTGGGAAAATATACCTTTGAAACGAAATCATTTGAATAATTCCAGCGCCATTTATGCTGTTGTATATGACCTGCGCTTTACTATGGAAACTGTCCGTGGGAGTGAGGACACTACATAAAGTTTGGGAAGCTTCCTTCCTCAAGGACGATCACGGAGTCTCAGTTTGAGGTAGTTTGTGTCATTATTGAAATGCGCGCCACGAAATAGATGTATAAGTGGTGGAAGCTCAATTATACAAAGGCTATTAGATTTTCTTTTTCTTTTTAAAGCCAACCACTCCAGGAGCTAATGCTATTCCACTGAAGGGCGTGTACTTACGGGATCTCCCTTCGGGCCTTGAGGTCCATGGCCGTTCGGAGGGCGCGTGGGCTAAAAACGGAGAAGATACAGATGAAAAAGCCAGAGGAGCAGCTTTCCCATGGAGTCTGTCCCAGTGTGCACATCTGATTCTTATCCCAAACTACACCCAGCCTCTGGCTTTAGACGAGAGCGTCCACCTTTTACGTGTGATGCTAACCGGATTGTTGGACAGACTCCTTTTCACGTCTGGGGTATAGGAACTAGCCGCATGCTTACATACAAACAGGGGGAGAGACGTGCTTGCATACAAACTGTGGGGAGGGACGTACTTGCATGCGATCTGGGAGGAGGGTCGTGCTTGCATACAAATGGGGGTCGGGGCTGTGCTCCCTCCCACTCACCGAGGTGGGAGGCTGGGGGCACACGGCGCAGCACTCTCCGAACGGGATCTCCGGGTTGGGGCAGTCCAGCTCCTGGTCATCACAGATTATGTCGTCGCAGAGAACAGATCCTGAGTCGCACACGCAGATCTGGCATGGCTCTGGCTTCCAGACATCTCTGTCCGCGTAGGACTGGCCGAGATGGGAGCATCCTCCATCAAGAACTGGAAGACAGGTCAGACAGGGTGACGTTAGCTCATGTTTTGCCAAAATGTGATTTTTCACTATAATGCCACAACGGACTCCAATAGCCAAAGCAGAGCTGGTTTGAAGCAAATAATTTATCCATTTCATTAAGTGCATCTTCTTATGAGCTGGCTTATGGAAAAAAAAAATTCACAAAACCCACAAATCTAGGTATCAAGGAGATGCTGTTTTTCCTGCCTAGTTTGCTAAGCTGTAAGGGATTGTGTGAAAGACCAAACCGGTTTAGGAACCTCACGTTGGCACAGCAGAGCACACCTCCCTAAGGCCAGCAGGTGCTTTGATTTCGTTTGGAGTGAGGATTTAACGCCTATGAGAATCTCACAGCATGGAACCTCATTTATTCATCGTGCTGATAAGCCTCTGGCCCCATGGCTGCGGTTTGCTCCGGCAGCACACGGGAGCATGAGCTATGCAGATAACGGTGTCAGGGCCTGGGAAGACGGTCCGGTTTAGTCACCTCTCTGAGACCCGGGGGACTCCGCTGCTCTCGGTGACCTCACCCCCCCAGAGCCTGGGAAGGCTGTGGCGGCACGCGTTGCGGATAGTCTCACCGCCCGCGCTGGGGGGCTGCGCAGGTCCCCGTGGTATGAGCCTGTGTGGGCTGTGCCGTGTGGATGTGAAGAGGTTTCCAAATCGCAAAACGAAGGTGTGTGTCTTTAAACTAGGGGTGTCGAACTCAATCAGAGAAGGGGCCAAAATCTAAAATCCAGCCTAAATCGTGGGCCGAATGGTTTACTGAACAGTCATAAACTGTCATTGTGATGGAAACGCAGCGGAGTGCAGTGATGACAGCGCGGTGCGGGCCACATTGCAAGGCCTGGCGGGACGGATTTTGGCCCGCGGGCCGTGTGTTTGACACATGTGCTTTAAACAAACGTTGGTAAGACGGAAATAAAAAACACATGAAACATATGAATCATGAGCATTTGGGCTTTAAAATGGCCCCAAATTTGCTTCAGTGCAAATGTTAGCCTGTTTCAGCAGCTGCCACCAGTGAGCAGCGCAGAGTTTGCCAAAGTAAAACCTGGTCTTAGCTCTGCAGGCGTGAGCTGTGGTGAAATGCAGCTTGCTGGCCAGCAGAGAATACATGAAAGAAGTTTCTAAATATCTGCAAAAAGTTTTTGCAAACCATGAGCGCTGTCCTTGCTGTCCAGTGTTTGCATTTTTGTGAGAAGCGAACTTTCACTTCATTTTCTCAGAGCCGAGGTCCTACAGTGTGCGCGGCCTGCCTGCCTGCGGGAGGTAAGTGGTTAACAGCCTGCTGTTGTGCGGGCCCTGAGCTTTCACATAACACCGCCAAGCCTCCTTTCTGAGCTCCCCTTCCTCCCCCCCCCCCCCCCCCCCCACACACACAGCTGAAGAGATAACGGTTCAGGTCTGTGCTGAGTGTTCGGTGAGTGAGGGCTCCTGGAAGGAGAGCTTCAGAGCCTGTAGGCGCCATGACACAGTGGAGGGGCGAGGCATCGCACCCATTGTTCTCTGAGCACAGCTGACACCCTAAGCGAACTGTTTTTCCGGGAAAGATCTGCAAGTCTTAATAAGATGGAAGCCTGGTTAAGAGGATTGCATGACACCCTTCCTTTGGTCTTTGGCTTCCTTTAAAAAAGAAAACTTTCTCTAGATTAACTCTCTGAAATGTCCCAACAGGCTGGTTTTGGTCAAGCTTCGCCCATTAATAGTGTGGATTCGGGCTTCCTGGCCCCTGAGAACGACACAGGAGCAGGTGAGGACCTCGGGTAGTGACACGGCACTGACACTTCCAACGTGCCAGAGACCAGAGCCTGGTGTGTGTTCCACGCTCACCAGGCATCCGGGTGGGGATGGATGCATTGCTTCACATGACCGTGGTGACCGCCTCACAGCGCATGTGTACAGGAAGCATCCTGTGTGCACGTTAACGCACACACTGTTATATCAATGCGACTCCAGCAGAGCTGGGGGAAGGCTGCTGCTTTATACGCATGGTTTTCAGCTCTTGTCTCCGGATCAGGAACAGCTTTCCCTGTTTGACACAAGACCTGTTATAAAAATCAGTTCCTGAATGCCAAAGCCATGCTAGAGGCAAACGAGGAGGACAGCTTAAGCTCGGGTTGAGAATCTCAGATTTAAAATGCCTCCTCTTCCTGTGTCCTTAAAGCACCCTAAAATGAACACCCATTTCCTCCTGGTGTGCTCACCCTCCTGTTCTGTCCCATCGCAGGCATCATCGCATCGCTGGAAATGAGTGTTTCCCGTTTGCTCTGCCAACGACTGAACGCATGAGCACAGCATCGACTTATGAACACAGTAAGCAAGTTTGTCAGGATTGGGTTGAACCCAATGCGATGCACACAAAGCTTGCTATTTGCCCCCCCTGTTCCCACGTCTTCTCAGATATCCTGTGGCTTGTGCTTTTCACAACCAGGGCCTCCTCGGGAGACTTGAGCCATTGGAGAGCGCCTCTCCTCCATTAAAAGGGACTTGGTCTGGGTGACAGGAGAACGGTGGGATGCTGGGAAATGAAGGGTGAGTGCCCTTTGTGTCCTGACGTAACCGCTTTCACAGGCGGGAAGGGGTTTGCTCTCTGTAAGGCAGCTCCAGGACGCCGTGGCGGTGGTCAGACTCTCTCTCAGTCGCTGTTGAACGAATGGTGACTTGCCCTCAATTTCCTCTTGTTTCCTGTTCTGCGAGTGACACTCTGACAGCAATGTGTCCTCCAGGAAGCTGACATGCTTATACAGATGTCGCATGATTTAGTGTGAAAGCCCAATTATATGTGGGGACAGGGGAAACAGTGTCTTCAAGGGGACCAAGTGCCCGCTAGCCACACGCAGCGTTTAGGATGGAGGGAAAGGGGACTAGTGAATGACGGTCATCTCACGTTATTCCCTTTGATAAGGAAACAACTCAAGCCCTTTGGCAAGCATGCTAAGTAAAGAGCAAATAATCTCATTCTCACTCTGGACAAGCAATACGTTTTCCAGTCACTTCCCTCCCTGTAATCACCTAAGCTAAGCCCCCTGTTCTAGTTTGCAATTAACCTTGAGCTCCGCCTCTTCAGTCACTTGATGTTTCCTGTTCCTTTACAAAGCGCGGTCCTGAGATAAATTTATTTGTGGTCACACAAGCAGCTCATTAGACTAACTCATGTCCTTCCTGGGATCTGAATTACAAGACGAGATGAAGCTAGTTTATCATCATCTACCCTTAGCTTCTTTTATTTCCTAGCTCTTTCTCTCTGGTTTGGAACTTTGCAGAATAAGAAAACTAAGTCACACAATTTAATATTTTGGGATATGCTGAAATCTTTCTTTGTTTTCATTCTTCACGTGTTAATTTATGCCAAATTTATTGTTGTGACTGAAACTAATGCAAATTACGTTTGTCTTCATTCCACTTTCGTAGTAAAAATGGTACTCCCCAAAGCATCCACATTGGTCATTTAGCTTGAGTGACAAGCTCAACATTTTTCTCTTTTCTTTTTACTGATAGATATGGTAAGCCAGCCATCATAACATTATGTTCCTGTTATGTTAGAAAGTTGAATATTTTCTCAGTGTATATAGGCAGTTCATATAGTTTCCAACTGAAATACATTTGACTTTTAAATGACACTAATATTTGGAGGTTAAATAGTTTTCTGCTGCTTTTATATTTATTGAAATATCTTTAAATATGCTAGTTAACACAATGGGTTTTGAAGGAAAGATCTACAGACATGCAAAGATGGATAATTTCAATTTTAAAATGTTGTTTGCCTGGGCGAGCTAGAGCCTGCTTATTCTTGTCCTCACCAACAAATTTTAAAAAACCGTCTAAAATGGAGAGTCATAAAGATTTTATGATTCTCTCGACTGCTGTGTTCCATCCGCTGTCTGCAGTCCCCAGGGCAGGACAGGGTCAAGGTCCGCTCCCCTTGTGGATTCTATTGTATTATAAACCCCGCAAGTTCCAAATCAGAGTCGGAAAAGGTGGACTTTTTGGAAAGGGACACCGGTTTTCTGCAGAACATCTTTCCTGTCTAATCTCAGACCAAGAAGCGAACATCTGGAGTTCAGTTCTGTTGTTTATTTTCTCCCGACCTCACAAAGGAAAGGTTTCCCTCCCAGACCCCCCGGTGGCAGCTAGACCCGCAGTGGATTGCCTGGAGCCTGGAGCCCAGCGTGATTCACGCGCACAGAAAGGGGCTCCCAGCGGGGAGCAGGGCGGCTCCTGGACCCGCCTCAGGAACCCCACAGAGGATGGCTCCCCCAGACGCTGGTTTGCTCAGTCATTCCCATGCCTGAATTTTAACTTCGTCAGATGCTTCTCTTCTCGGCCTAGACAGCATGAGCATGCCAGCAGCTTTCACGGGCGTTTTTCGGATTTTAATTAACTCACCAAGCCTGGGCTCTGCCTCCCTCAGCACCAAATATGGTAGAAAAGCCAGTTTCAGGGGGGAGTGCCCTCTGACTAAGGCAGGCCTTTCTCAGCGTGAGTTCTCAAAGCCAGGGGGACTGTTAACAGTGTCCGATTGCTTTATCTCCGCTTTCTACATCTCCTGAGCAGTGTCTTTGGCCGGCCCTGTCCTCTGGTTCTCTAAGATTGCGTGTTAAGTGGCAGCTCTCTGACCCCGTCTGGAAAGCCGAGGCTCTGTTCGCTCATCGGAAAGGCATCCTGCGCTGTTTGCCTGAGGCCCAGACAGACATCCCCCGTTACAGTCCCTCCTGCAGCGAGCAAAGGGTTTCGCTGAGGAGGCCTCTCATTTTTTCCGTTGTCATCTTGACACGAACCAGGCGAGTCTCCCCTTTGAAAACGCTGGATTTTCACCCCCCTCCTACGCCCTCCCCCGCTGCTGAGTGCAGAAAGCTGGGGCCTGTGCTTTTTCCAGGGAAACGTTTCCAGGGAGCCGTCCACCGAGCTGTTTGCAGACGTCAGTGCGGCCCTGAGGTCTGCCCAGGCCCCCCGTGCCCCGCGAGGCAGTGCCACCCTCATGTTGAACCAGAGGCTGAGGCAATCCCCGGGCCCTGCGAGGCGGCAGGCTCACGGACAAACCCCTGGTGCCAGATGGAAGAACTGGGCTCACGGCCTTGGGTCCGCCCAGTCTCTGCCCTGGACTCGGGGCGCTGGGCAGAGGGCACCCTTCACTTGGAGGACCCCTGGCGGGCACCCAGGAGGTGCAGGAGCAGGGATCTGCTGGAGGAGCTGCCTGGGTCTCAGCGCTCCTCCTGGGAAGCGCCCAGCTCCTGGCTCCAGATTCTTAAAAATCAGCCTGTGGGTAAGGTGTGGAGCCAGGGGGCACCACTCCTCCTAAGCCCTCATCCCACTCCTCCTCCTTCCCCAGCATCGCCCCGGGGCTCACTGCTCCCACAGCCCTGGGGTCTCACACCAGCACCCCCCGCCCCCCAGCACTCCACCAGGCCCCCAGGAGAGGGGTGTCATCACCCATGAAAACCAGTGTTTTGTCCTAATACGTTCTTCACTGAGAATCTGTTCTACAAGACTGAAGGTGATCTCTGTTCAATGATAGGGGAGTCTCTTGTTTAAAAAATAGATGTACCAATTCAAAATGGAGTGCTTAACAAAAACAATCTGCCTTCCCTTCCCCGCCCCCCCTTTAGAAAAGCATTAACTCATATATTTTCTAGGACAGTATATGATTTTTCTTTCTATCTCTTTTCAAGGACTGTTAGAAAACTAAGAAGACCCATATGCTCTAAATTTAACGTGTATCTTGTTTTTTTCTGACGACCCAGGATTTTAGGATTTAGCAGAACTTTGGTTCTAGTCTTCGCCCATCACTTCCTAGCTGTGAGATTGCCGCTGCAGCACTGAGTCCATGAGGTGTCGGACACTGAGCTTCGTGAGCAATTACTCATTCTCTGCTCCTAGAAGTGTAATTGCTTCTAGTGATTTTTATGCCAAATCCCCCCACGCCACCCCCATTGCATTATAGGGGACACAGACCAGAAAACGTGAGTGCTGCTTGGTCCATTACAAGCTCTCCTTGCCAGCATGAAGGACAGAGCCTCCCAGCCTGAACCCCGGACCCGATTCTCGGAGTCCACTGACTGCAATTCTAAGACCAGGAGGGGCCCCGACCTCGCTGTCCCGGTGGGTGCATCGGAATAGCAAGATGTAAGCTCACAACTCCGAGTGCTTTTCAGTAAAATGAGGCTGACCTCTCAGCCCCAATGAAACAATATTACTGAGTAATATCTTCCTGAAATACTTATGTCCAATGCAGACTACAGCAGAAATTGCAAAAATACTCAGAAAGGCTGTTCTATAGGACATGTGGAGCTTTCTAGGTAGCATAAAGTTATCTGTGACACGCGGGATTTTTTAAATGGGCCATCACACCACGCTCACCTCCAAACAGACTCTCCCTGTTGGGAGTGTGGTGCGTGAGCAGGTGTATTTGGCAATAGGCGATCAGCAATGTGCTTCTTTTCTTGGGACAGTCCTATGGAATAGCTAACATTCATCCACGCCCTCTTTTTAAACCTCATTAGGAAACGGGTCTGGCTGGGTGTGGCCTTCCCTGTGGGCACTGGCTCTGAAGCTCTGCCGACCCGCCACCAGGGGGCGAGTCTCTGAGCTTAAAACCTGGCATGCTCCTGCGGGACAGGAAATAGAAAACAGACCCACTTCTCCGCGCTGGAATCCAACCTCGGATTAAACAGGACTCACAATTCTCTGGGAGGACCCGCTTCCTGTGCCAGGGGCCGTGTGTGGGGAGATGAGGTGCATGTTCGCCAGAGCCGTGCTCTCCTCTGGGGCTCTGGGGCGCACGTGAGAACCACAGGGTGCTCCCCGTGCCCTGCGCGCCCGGCCACGCCCTGGCACCGCCCCAGAGCCCACGCCCCAGCAGGCTTGTCTTGCAAAGCCCGTGGGGACATGAGATGTCTCCTCTTAAAAAATGCTTAAACCACGAACAACAAGCTGACCAGAATCCCTCTCCACTGCCTTTGAACTAAAAAGCACCCCCTGTGTCAGCAAAGTCCCAGAGCTGTTTGTTCTCTCCCGCAGCTAAAGAGAAAGGGGGTGAAGACAGTTATGTCATGTTCAGATAATGTAGGCAGCACACATGTGTCCTCCCCAGAGCGGGGGCTAGGAGACAAACAGCCACGGCGCTTATGAAAAGTTATAACCCCCTTGGCAATCACAAATAGTTTGTCCGTCTTTGAACTGAATGCCAAAGGCTTGTCCTCTTTCCAACAAGTGGAAACGCTGTGATTTTTCTCTCCCCCTTTCTCAGAAATCGGAGGAATTTGAAAGCTTCACAGAAAAAGTAAAAGTCTTCATTGAGGTGGGGGTGTGGTGAGTCGCCTGGCTTTCTAGCCAAGGCGTGGGAGCTGAGCATCTTTTGGGAGGGGCCGGTGGGGAGGAAAAGGCGGGGGCGGGGGGAGTGAGAGGGCGGAGGATGGAGGACTCTAAGAAAGAAAGGAAGAGGCAGAGGAGAGAGGAAAAGAGGTGGAGGCAGAGGGAGGACACAGGAGGGCGGGGGTGAGAGAGGAGGGGAGAGAAGGAGAGCTGAGAAGGGGTGGACCTGCCTAGGAAGGGGTTGGGGTGGTGAGTGAAAGAATGAAAAGGGGGAGGAAGTGCAAAGGAGCCAGAAGGGGTGGCCAGATAAGGAGGGGAGAGCAGGGGTGAGAGGAGGAGGGGGACAGGGATGAGGGGGATTAAGGGGGAGAGGAGGAGGGGTAGTGGGGAGAGGAGGAGGAGGCAGGGGGAAGAAGGTGAGGGAGTAAGGGGGAGAGGAGGAGGGGTAGTGGGGAGAGGGGTAGGAGGCAGGGGGAAGAAGGTGAGGGAGTAAGGGGGAGAGGAGGAGGGGTAGTGGGGAGAGGAGGAGGAGGCAGGGGGAAGAAGGTGAGGGGGTAAGGGGTTGCACATTTCTTTTCTTTGTGGCCCTAGGCTCAATTCGCCTGAGGAAATGCCCGTGGGGGGGCCTCCTGCTGACACATAGGACCTGTGAGGACATCAAAAGCGTTTGGCACTGAAAACAAAGACAACCCCTTTCGGACACCGCGTTTGCGAGCGCTATAGGTTTGGACGTGGAATGGAAAGGGCGTGCAATGACTTCTTCCCATTCCCCATTTACACATGTTCTTCTCTCTAGGTCTGCACTCCGTCAGGCCCAGGGTTTTGGTGACTAAGAAACGTATGGATGTAAAGGAGCGTTTTCACATCGTCAGACGAACAAGAAAACCGTTGTGTGCCCTCATTAGAACACTCTGGAAGCCAGGCAGTCCCGTGCCTTTACCTTGTTTGCAGGAAAGTCGGACATTCCTGTGGAAGGCATGTGTTTTAAACAAAAACTCTCTTTATTCAGGCAGACGTAGGTAAAGTGTAGAACAGACATAAAACACTAGATCCTTAGGTATCAGCCAACACTCCACGTGCTTGAAACAGAAAAGTTAGGAGCCATGAAACACGGAACAGTGTGGACCTGTGGAAGGGGCTAGACCTGCTGCCCTTGTACAGACACCTCGTCAGTGATTCTCACCATGCACGGCGCTCCCTCCGGCCCATTCTGCATGCATGCTCTGACTTCAGTGCATGTTCTCACTGGGAACACAGGGTTTCCTACCCCCTTACAGAGCCCGGCATTACAAAGGCGCACAGAGCCGTGTGCAGGAGCCTGGCATCCCAGCTGCAAGGAGCCTCCCAGGACGCTGGCATCCAGGGCTGGGCTTTTAGCTGCTCTGAGCACTTCCATCCCGCCAACAGGAAAGCCAGTGAGTGGGAAACATGGTCCTCTCGGACCCCAGCACACGTTTCGGCACAAAAGGACGCTCTTCTTGCTAAGCCTCCGGCCCCTCCACACTCACACCTGGGAGTGGCCCCAGGGACATTCTCCGCCCCCCCCTCCCCCCCGCCCCGAGCCTGAGCCCCCCGCTGCCCCCCTGCCCCAGCGGGAGAGACAGAGCCCGGGGTCCGGGGGCGCGGGCACCCACTCACCCTCCGGGAGCTGCTGTGCCAGGACCAGCGCGGGGTGCAGCAGCGAGAGGAGCAGCCAGGCCCCCTTCCGCACGGAGCTCGTCATGTCTACAGGCCAGACATGAGACTCTCGGTGCACAAAGAGAGACGCGGCGCTCAGGGTAGCACCATCAGCCTGCCTCCGGCACAGCCCGTCGGCAGCAGCCGCGGCGGGGCCTCTGCCGGGGCCTTAAATAGCAGAAAGTTTGGCTTCCCTCACTTGCCGGCCCCTTTCTGAAATATGAGAGCAGCACCCATCCCCTCGGCAGTAAAAGAGATGATTAATATGCCTCCCGCGCTTCTAGCAGACACAGCCCACCGGGGAGGGCGCACATCTGGACAGCGTCCGCCCTGCGTGCAGGGCGCCGGCTGCCTGGCTTAGGCGCCGTATGTGTGCAGCCCCCGGCCCGCCCTCTGAGCTGGGATCATAACGGGACGCATGCATTTTTAAAAAGATTTTCCTTCTCACGTTCCCTGCCTGGTGTCAGGAAGGTGCGGGTGCCCTCTGCTTGGGCACGCTGATTTGCAAACCTTGTCTTCCCGGGAGTTTTTGTGTTGGGGTCTTGCCAGATCCCCCTGGAACTCCGCTTGGAGAGGGGCTGGCGGGGCGGCCCATCCCGGGAAGAAAAGCCTGCTTGTCCGCCTCGCCCACCCTCCCCGGCCGGCTGCTCAGCTCCAGGCAGCGGTCTGGGTGGCATTTTAAGGTAGATACTTATCTTTGCTGTGGCTGGTTCTCTCCAGTTTCCTCAGCCGGCCAAAGCGGGACTGCTTGAGTTCGGGTGTGTAGGCTGCTGAGAAAGCCAGAAGGGATTTTTCTAGAGAAACAGCCTTTCCATGCTTAATTTTTTTTAAGAAATGGGGAAAGAGGCAGCTTGTCAGGGAATACAAAAGAGCACCCCAGAATGTTCTCCTTCCATCTGAGCTGCTACGAAGATCAGTAAGACAATCTCCAGGCCCAGGCGTCCGCAGGCCTGCATTCTGGGCCATGTCCACACGGCCTTTCAATGCATCTCTGCATCTAGAGACACGTTCTGGGGCGAGCTTGAGAAAGGGGCGCACACCACGTGTGGCTCTCCATGACACCTCTGCAGGAAAAACCTGGCTGTCCACAGGATCAGGCTCTTTCTAGGAAACGAGATCTTTCTCACCACCTGATCCTCAGTCCATCATTCCTTCACTCGCTCCTCTATTCCACGCAGGCGTTTCTATTCTAGCCAAGGCCCCCTGCGTTTGTTCTGTTTTTCTCATGTTCACGTGAAGCATGGCCGCCTCCATGCTTGTATGTGCACATGCAATTCTCCGAACCTCACACCAGTTCATTGAAGTCACTTCCTTAAGACCCAGCTCACAGCTGGTTCCTTTAAACTTGTTTTCACCTTCCCGCCTCCCAACGTATGTTCCTTAGTTCTCACTACGTTCACACATGTATTCCCATGTGGGACACGCGTATTCCCACGTGGGATGCCTGAATTCCCATGTATGATACGTGTATTCCCATGTGTGATACGTGTATTCCAGGTGAATGTCTGTTGTGTGAGCATGGTCAGCGGAACACTGCTTCTCTGCAGGCCCAGTATCAATAGCACCGAGATGCCGGGATGCGGATGACGTCACCCGATGGATGACCGGGAGGGAGGATCCCTGGGCCAATCACGGTGCTCCTCCTGACCTGGGACGGGAGGGGCACTGCCTGTGGAGGGAAAGGTGGCGCTCTTCTCCTGGCCACCCTGAGGCGCTGGGGAGAAAGGGGGCGAGCTGTGCCTCTCCCCACCCGATCATCTCCACCTTAGATGTAAGACTTTTGTGTGTTCACACCGATTCAGAAACAGGATTCATTTTTTCCTACCGGTGTCTTTGACGTTTGAACAAAAAAGATCAGAATGTATATTCATTATCTTATGGTTTTAGGTGGTCAAGGAAGCTGGCATTTAATTTCTTCCCACTGTGAAAAATAGGTATTTTTTCAAATTATGCTTTTTATGCTATCCTTCAGGCTTTCCATGTACAAGTTCTATTTTTTTTAGTTGTCCTAAAATTCTTACATTTGATTAGCTATTCAAGTAAAAGTTTTATATTCACTTATGCTCATAAGAAAAACTCATGACGGATGCGTTCATGTAAGAGAAGTTAGATGACATTTTGCACATGAAAGCATTGCATCTTTTGTCCTCATCGGTGTGGCTCAGCGGATAGAGCGTTGGTCTGAGGGACTGAAGGGTCCCAGGTTCGATCCTTGGTTAGGGGCACATCCCCAGTGGTGGTGTGCAGGAGGCAGCTAATGGATGTTTCTCTCTCATCGATGTTTCTAACTCCCTCTCCCTCTCTCTTCCTCTCCGTAAAAAAAAAAAAAAAAAAAAAAAAAAAAAATCAATAAAATATATTAAAAAAGAAAGTGTTGCATCTCAAGGTGCCCACGAGAGCCCGGGAGAGAGGAGGAACCTCAGGGGAGTGCTGTGACGTAGCACTCGCCAGGACCGTGAGCACCCGTGGGGGGCCTGCACCAGGACCCTTCTCCTGGTGTCCCAGGTCCCCGACCCTCCTCACGGCCCTGTGTTTCCTAAATCGGTTCTAGTGGGTATGGGTCTGAGCTGGTGTCACCCCTGGGTGACATCACTCAGCAGTGAACCGAGACACCCTTCTTTCTATTCAGCCCGGCTTCCCTGAGGCTGACCAGCTCCCACAAACACCCAGCTCGCCCTCGGACTACGGCTGGAGTTCTCACTCAGCTCCAAACGCCCTCGACTGCACGACTCATCTGGCTCTCCTTTAACGGAGAGATGGGAAAGATGAGGCAAAGCAAGGGTGTGGCCAGGGACCAATCCCAAGTTCAAATCTTTCCCAGGTCAGTGGAAAACGGAGCTCGGGGAGCCATGCATGAGCACAGCTGGGATGGACTCCTTGGGCCAGCGAATGTCAGCAGTGCTCTCTCCAAGGGCAACGAGAAAATCAGTTCTCTCCATCATGAGAAACACATGCAGGAGAACTCTGTGTCTCTCATGGTACTGCTTCGTGTGTGGTTTTCTTAAGACAAGTAGATGCATTATTGTATGGGTATTTTTATGTGCTTCTAAACAATTGTAAACTCCTTTAAAATGCACTTGTGATGAAGACGCACTTAAAAATGGACTGGATCCATGCAGGACTGTAGCCTAAGTGAGGATAACTTACAAAACAACTGTGAAATACATGCAGGTTTTCTTCATTGTTTCTAGGGAGGCAGACCAGTTAACTGTTTGCTGGGTAAAGTCACATTTGGAGAGCTGGGTTTCCTTTAGAAGAATTTCAGCAAATACCAAGATGTGTGT